AATAAAACACGACCTGCGAGTTTTTTAAATGGCTTCAAAAACGTTTGCATAATAAGTCAAATCTTTATATAAAAATCTTTATATAAAAATCTTTATATAAATATCTTTATATAAAAATCTTTATATAGTTTGCATAACAATGGTCTTTTGTTAAAGTGTTCTTTAGCTGGTATAAAGACGTATGCACGTGACTAATTTCTTACTCAAGATTGGATAATTGCTTCATGAATTATTAATGAGTTTTTGAATGTTATATGTACTATTTAAACACGCGTAGTCGTGTTTTATATGTGATAAAACACGACTACATGCAAGTGCTTTAAATGGCTTAAAAAACGAATCATCTCATACGAGTTCATGGGCGAAGTAATTTTTAAAATAAACTTTGTCTAAACCGAGAAAATCAAAGCTAAAGTTATGTAAATTAACATGATTTTTTATCACATATAAAATCACGACACGCTTATGATTTTTCTTTGTGTTTTGCTCCTGAATTATTAATGAGTTTTTCAAACAGTATCTACAGAGTTATCTCAACTCACGACCTCACGACGCAGTTAAACAATAGCACTTAAACAGAACTTCAAACATTAAGTTACTAGGTGGAATAAATTTCAAAAGAAATGAAAGAATAAACTCGAGGCTATGTATGTATAATGCTACGCTGCCGTATTAAATTCTGCATGTGGTCAATTGTTATAATTATAATCAGCATATAACACTGGAAAAACTTTTAAAAATCCATAGAAGGCCATAAAATGGAAATTGTATGGACCTTTATTGGAAATAGAATGGATTTTGATTATCCATAATAATTGTATAATTCCATACTATGGATATAGTATGGAAGTAGTATGGATATACTATGGATTTAATGGTGCAATTGCAAATTTCATAATATGAATTTCACATTCTTTCCCAGTGTAATTCATCATAATTCACGTTATCTTGTTAGTAATTTCTTTGTATATTTGCATGGCGATAAAACATATAGTTTTGTTTGTGGAAACACTACGTAAATTTATTACTGCAAAGCTTTCAATTCGTAAGCCCGGATCTTCATCAGTGCTAAAAGGACTGCACTCTACATCAGATACGAACTAGTGAGTTTCCAAACAATAAGGGACCATTCGTTATTTATGACTGGGGGTGGGCTGGTAAAAAAATGGGGTGGGTCATGAGGTATTTTTGACCGAAAAAGGGGGGGGCACCTAAAAATATTAGTTCAGAAGGGGGGTCCAGTTATTTTATTATAGTGGGGAAAAATTTGACATGTAACGATTATTGCAACCGCAGAGAGCGAGCAAGGCAGAGAATTTAATTCATGTACCTAGCAAAATTCTCAATTTTAGTCAACATGCACTGATAGACCGAAAATGCAATGCGCAAATACCCAAAATGCAATGCGTGTAGCTAATATGAAAAACAATCCAACATCTACCTTATAACTTTTGCCATGAACTTGCCATAAATATTGTCATGTTTCCCTGATGTACATTTTAATAAAAAAGACACTCACGATAACGAGTAAGCATTGTAGTACAGGGCCGTACTACATTATCCATGACAAACTGCAAAGAAGGAAGATATTACCCATACTTTGCTGTCATATCCAATATATAGTTAATTAAATATGCCTTTGCCCATTTATTACCACTATTTTTTACTCAATTGTAAACAAATTGCAAATTTCGACATACTAAAAGTCCTAAAACGCTGTTTTCTGCCATCAAAATTCTGTCAAATATTTCCCAAAGTTCAGGAAATGGCATTTCAGAGACCCTAAATTTAAAAATTTCCTAGTCGGGTCTTCGGCCCTCGTTTTCAGCCCCCAATAAAAAGAGCTTCCTACAGTATGGCACTGTAGCAAAATTACGTCCACAGCGAATTTGGCGTACACTGTATACTAGTATATACTAGGTATTTTATACATGGTTTAATTTAGTATTAAGTACATAATGTGTGCTTTAGCAGAAAATATACTTTATAGTGTAGAAAATACACTGAAACTGGATTCTAATTTTTAGGTCAGAATTTTTTATCAAAATTCTTCTGGCCAGTCTAAAGTTAGGATTAGCAGAGTTTGTTCTGATTAGATATGCATATTGTTGAAAGCACAAGTAAATGTAGATATGATGCCTGGTCATGTGTCTATGTATACATTGG